CTTTTTTTTTTCTTCGTTTTGTTGCGATGTTTGCACCTTCTCTCCACTTTCTGGTTACATGGGATCAGTTTGTGACTTTGCGACGTTTGTCTGCTGAGAGGTGTATTGGTGTTGACGTCATCTATGTCATTGACCTGAAGCGAGCCTCAGTAGAGACTTAAACCACCTTCTTCCCGAGGCTAAGTTGCCGAACTTGTCATGATGTGGTGTGGAGTTGGGATGGCTAGGGGCAGAAGACTTAGCTTTTCCAGTGTACACCAAACTGCACCCCACGGGGGTGCCCTTGTTGTATACAGGTGCAAGTGGAGGGTAGGTGTCTTAGGGCGTAGTCACAGTCACTTTTTGCGATTGGTTCTGGACTTAACTGCGGTAAGATACGTCCAGCACGAGCTGTAATTGTGGTCAGGTACATTCGGGAAAGTCCTAGTGTGAGTATGCTCTCAGAGGGTAGGCTGGTATTAGCCAGTTTGCGAGGGATTTTGAAGTCACTTGCTCATTCAGCTGAGAGTGTTGGACTCAGATCCGGAACTGGAAGAGATTCCACTACCATCTTCCCCCTGAACACTACGCAGCTCATCATGACTGTATCGCACTGGAAAGACAGCTCGTATGCGTTCACAATCAGGGTGTGTTGTGTTGGGGGAAAGGTGGTAGCTTGGATTAATAAGAGAGACTGAAGGTAAATAATGGAGGCCGAAGGTTAGTATCTTTATCTCTTGATGTGTGCTAGTGAAATCATGGCTGCAGTGTATGGATGCTTCTGGTGAGGTACACCACATCCCCTCACTGTATCTACTCGGTGTGTGTTTGTTTCCATCTATTTGGCGGAGGAGAGTGGCTGCGTGCTTGAGTAGGGCACTTGGTTAAGGGTTCTTGATAGGATGAGTAGGAGATCTGGTTAAGGAACCTTGATATTGGGAGCCCTAAGCTGTGGAACAGTAGGCGGGCGACCAGCGCATAAAAGGGTGTGGGGGGAAGAATTTGTCGGAGGACCGGCCCATCTCGTTTTTACGGGCGACCTACAGCTATCACATGGAGAACCGATGCAGTAGCAAAATCAGAGGACTGGTCCTCCCTTCAATGTGGTCCTGAAAAAGGGTTCCAGCAGGTCCAGTACCACAATTTGCAAGAGGTAACTTTGGCGATTTTTTGTGGTCAGAAGAATTCGCAGAAAAATCTGAAAATTTGAGAACCCGTAGATTAGGTCGTGGTCTTTCCAGGAAAAATATAAGAAACATTAAATAAGAACAGTCATTAAGGCCGCAAAATAATCGCTGCGCTGATTCAGTGCATTTTCCATTTTTGCCACTAAGCCATGTGTGGACAAACAGAAAAAGTACGCCAACTTCAGTGACTTTTAGCGCTCAGAGGAATGTGTGAAAAAACTGGAAATTGGAGTGCTTGCAGATTTTGTTGTGATTCTTTCCAGGAAAAATGTGAACTAAAAAAAAAATAAAAAAAATTTCAACCTCGAATTGGATCGTTGCGGCAATTTGACCCGTTTTCCATTTTTGCCATTCAGCCTCTCTGTCT